CCACCGCCGACGAACGCCATATACCCCCTGGCCGCCGCAGCTGGGACGGCTTTGCCCGCAGTCACAGGCGGCGGGGCGACTGGCGGCAACCGATCTGCCACTGACCTCATGCCTCCCCGTTACCTCCTCAGCGGCGGCTGCCGATCCTCCGCTGGACATCCATGTCTCGCGGCGGGCGAACCGCGTGTGGCCACTATTCCATGCGGCTGGCTCACATGGACGGGGCTGTTCTGGTTGACCAGAGCCAGTTCCCGGGGAGACTCCGGCGCTGGCGGCGCCGCCACTGCGGGCCCGAACTGCAGTGGCCACAGCGCGATCCACCATTATGGGGCGCTGATGCCGAGGGCGGTGACTGACAGCATGCACGCCCAGCTCGGCAGCTGCACGTCGGCGGGCGGGGCCGGAAGCGCGGCGACTCGTGCGTTGAGTCGCCTGCCCAGTCGGGCCCCTGAGCTTGTCCCAGTGGGAACGCACGCCAGTGCCCACCGTTGTGGAGCTGGTTGCGGCGGTGCTGCGGAAGCCGCTGGAGCTGGCGGCGCTGCTGGCGCGGCTGCTGCTCCAGGGGCCACAGTGGCAATTGGACGTTCGACGCGCCGGCGGCGCTCAGCAATTGGAAGCTGAGGCCCTTATAGCCGATGATCATAAGTTGACCGGCTTGCTGCGCTTAGATGCGTGGGATGTCGAGCCTTGTGAAGTTGTCGATTCGCTCTTGCGGCAGTCTGCCGAAGTTCATGGTTAAGCGTTGCTGCCGAGGCGCGCTCCTCCTCGCCCGCGTGGCCCCGCCACTCAGCCAGACTGCGTGGCCCCGCCACTCGCGCGGCCGCGTGGAAGGTCCTCGGCGTGGCCCCCCGTGGCGCGTGGCCCCGCCACCCGCCACTCACCCGCGTGGCCCCGCCACTCGCGCGCGTGGAGGGTTCTCGGCGGCACTGAGTCGCCGCTGATGAAGCCCCCCTGGATCAGGACAACCGGCGGCCATTTGTCCGCGCGTTCGCGCGCCATGCTGGCGAGGCGCGACGAGACGCAGGCCGTCTGGCGAAACTCTGCGGAGTCTGAGTTCGCCACTGACTGGGTCATCACCTCGCGCGCCAATTTCTGGAAGGGCGCCCGAACCTACTGCTCGGGCCCACAGGTGCGGAAGGGTCTCGCGTCGCCGCTGCCGCTGCATCCGCGCAAAAGAAGAAGCTGGTGATGGCGCTCATGCCCACTCCGATGGCCTTCCATCCGGAGGGGGGCCTCCTCCACGCGTCGCGGAGGCGCTGGGGGCCGGGGATCCACCAGCGGCGCTGCTCGAAAAGCGTGCCCCCGAGCCGCCGTGGGCACTTGCCCCGGATGTGGTCTGCCCCGTCTGCGCAGTGGGCATATGTTGCCGTGGCGCGGTTGCAGTGCTCTCGGTGCTCGGAGCACCCCGCAGCGCAATGCGGGATGTGATCCTCGTGCGTCGCGTTGTCATTGTACTGTGTACCGCCAACTGCACGATCGTCTAGACGAGTGCGCATAGCGACCCAGTCTTGCCACGCCGCTGGAAATGCGCGGGCACGGTGTGAGGTCGTGCGCAAAAGACAGAACTCAGGTTCTCCCATTTCCGCGTCGTCGTCCTCCGGAGTGCTGGTGGCACAGTCGCCGCCCCCTCCATTGTATTGCCGCCTTTCTCTGTTTGCTCCTCCCAAGGTTTGTGTGACGCAATCACCCGAAGCTCGGGGCCCTGAACCGACACCGTAGATGTGAACGCTGCGCCGAGCAATTTTCTAAATCTTGCGGCTACGCCAACATGCGGGCGCATTGACGGCGTCGGGTCCGCGAGCTGCGCTGACACAGTCAGCGCAAGCTGGGGTGGGATCGCTGAGAGCTGCGACGCGCCACGGGGTTCGTCCTCGGCGGCGGCGCGGCTGGGGTCCTTGACGATTTTGTTCGTGCACTTGTCGAAGTAGATGCGTTCCCTTCCCGGCACTGGTCCTGGCCGATGGGCTGGTGCTTCCCAGACGGACCCAAGAATAACGTCCCCTGCAGTGGTGAGCGTGAATCGGTGCACCAAGGCGAGACATGAACAGCGGAATGTGCAGCGGGGTGCGGAGCGGCATGAACAGCGGCGGGGGAATGGAGCCATGGCCATCGAAGCGCGGCAAGACATGGCGGCTGTGGTATTGGAGCCGTTGCTCTGCTACCAACTAAAAATATCGATGTAAGAAGATACGGATGAAAATCGGATCTTTCGCACAGTGAAGCGTGCATGTGAACAGAAAGTATCAACAGCAATGAACATCGGGCGCGATGCTTGGCCAAGCTTGGGCCGCGGAAGCAGGGCAGTGAAGGCACAGGCAAGGAAGGAGGTGAGATAGACAGGACTACATTTCGAGTAGAAAGGGGGAGGAGGGAGGAGAGAGGGAAGAGGGAGGAACATAGCATATATAAGACGGGAGTCTGACGGAAGAGGGGGGGGAAGAGGAGGAGGAGGGGGAGGACACACAAGGGAGGAGGGATCTTTGCGTTTCTACCCTGGCGCCTGCGGCTCGACGATGTCCCGTTCCAGGCAGAGCAACGCGCTCTCCACAAAGCGATTGCACGCCGCGCCCATCTCCTGTAGCTGACACATGTTATGTCGTTGTTTGTCGCGCTGTCAGCGTTTAAGAACGACGGGGTAAACTGAGGGGGAGGGAAGTCGCGACCATGAGTTGTTCCCCCCACCTCCTCCTCCTCCTCCCCTCCCCCTCCCCTCCTCCTCCTCCTCCTCCTCCTCCTCCTCCTCCTCCTGAATATCCTCCCGCTCTCCTCTTTCTCGTGCTCCTCCTCCTCCTCCTGCAGCGACATGCTGGTGCTGGTGCTGCTGCTGCTACTGCTGCTGCTCCTGCTCCTGCTCCTGCTCCTGCTCCTGCTCCTGCTCCTCCTCCTCCTCCTCCTGCTCCTCCTCCTCCGCCTTCTCCTTTCTATCAGGGCGCAGGGCTGGAGGAAGGCACCGATGTGGAGGGGTTGCGCAGGCGTGTCGGAGCCCTGGACAGGAAGGACGCCGAGCAGCACAATGTGGCCCTGTGCGTGGTGGCATCTGGAGGCCAGTGGACACACCAGCGGATTATTTGAGTGCGGCGGACAGCTGAAAGGAGCGCTGTGCCTTAGATGTGCCCGCGCGGAGGAGACGGCCCCTTCGGGGCATTGCAGTGCCCGCGTAATGAGGACATCCCCGAATGCGAAGCCACGCAACACCTGCAAGATGAGGCGGAGAGGTACGCAGGTGCCAACCCCTGCCGCTGGCTGCGCGGGCTCGAACCCTGGGGCGCGGCTGCGCGTGGAGAGGCCGCCCGACGAGGTCAACACTCTTCTGTGAGGAGCTGCCGCAGCAGGAAGAGGAGGGCAAGCTCGCCAGGCTCACCGACTGCGATGGGATCGACCGAGTCCGCGCCGGAAGCAATACGAGAGCTCCAAGCAATACACCACCACCAGCCCTGGCCAGGCCTATCCTGGGCCCTGGACTGGTGTACATGCCCTCCTGGTCTAGGCCGGGAGGTCTATACACCAGTCCAGGAGTCCAGGGCCCAGGATGGACCTGACCAGGGCTGGTGGTGGTGTATTGTTGGCGTCCCTCCGAAGCAGGCTCTGGTTCGCCGGCGACGCCCCAGGCGGGGAGCACGACAGCCACCCCAAGCCAGTAAAGACGGAGTGGGGAGTGATCACCACGGACGGCGGGGAGGACCCAAGGGGTCGGCCATGTGAGGAGCTCCACCTTTTGAGCAGGGACCGACCGTCCCGGCATTCCTATAGTCCTACCACGAAATGTTCTTAGAACCCAACAATGTTCTAAGAACAAAAACAAGGTTGTTAGAACAGAAGCCCGATGTGTTCAAGCAAGACAGGCTCAGCCAGAAATGCTCCAAGAACATCTCGTGGAAACCACAAAAGGTTCTCAGAACACTGTTTGGTAGGGCTACTAGGCGAGCCAGGACGCTTCGCCACTGCCTGAACCTTACGGAAACCATCGGCGGGGGCATCCACGGGCCGAGGCAGGGCATCAACGGGGGCGAGCTGCGTACCCTCGTGGAGACGCTTCGCCGAGGGGCGGGACACCGGCCACATCGCGGGACAGCAGCGCACCTCGACCTGTGGAGCGAGCGATCTCTGCAGGCTCCGACTCTCGCGATCACACGTTGGTGAAGCTCCTCAGGCAGACCACGGGCGACGATGTCTTGGAGCAGGGCTGGATGAAACGAAGGCGCCGACTGGTGCAACGGAGCCGCTGGGGCGCGCCGACGTCCCCAGCGGCCCCTCGTGCCGCTGCTCGAGCTGCGGTACAGGCCAGGCCGCGGCGGACGCAGCAGGGGCGGAGGAGAAGGAGGACGAAGAAGAAGAGGAAGAAGAAGAAGAAGAAGAAGAGGAATAAGAATAATAATAAGAAGAAGAAGAAGAAGGAGGGTGACGAATGAGGAGGAGGAGGAGGGAAGGAGGAGGAGGAGGGGAAGGAGGAGGAGGAGAAGAAGGAGGAGGAGGAGGAGGAGGAGGAGGAGGAGGAGGAAGCGCACGGAGTCAGGGTGGCCCCGGCCACCGCAGAGCAGGTGCAGGAGACCGAGGCCGGAACGTCGGCGGTGCGGCCCGGGCGGATCGCCACCGTGCGGGCGGCGGCGGAGGCGGACCCCAGGACACGCCGCTGGGCTGAGCGGCCTGGCCGCGCTGAGCGCTGGAGGCCCGTGAAATGGGCACCAACACCACCACACGGGGTTGCCTCCACCGGGAGAAGATGATCCAATATTCTGGTTTTGGTGGGGTAACCTTCCGGCCACCTGGAAAGCCGGAATAACCCGAGACTCCTAGGAGATGTTAAGCACCCCTTGCATTTCCTTGGGAATGCTGAGGACATGCGAAGGACATGCTCAGGATTTCCTGGGGGCTGCGGGCTCCTCCTGTGCCGAGGTAACGCTTCCAGGGTGCCGGACGCGTCATACTTTCACCGGATGAGGGGGGGGTTCTGAAAGTGCTTCCTGGGGTTATTACCATCATAACCGAGATCGGGATCATCTTCCCTCGATGAAGGCTCACCGCGGATGTTGGTGTCGGTGTCAACCTTCTGGCCTCCGACGCTGGGCTGAGCGGCCTGGCTGCGCTACACGGGCGAACATCTACGTCGTCGCAGGGCTGCACTCCTCCGCTCGTGCGGGAGAGCCTGGAGTCGAATCGACAAGTCGGACCGGCGATCGAGACGGGTCGGATCGGCGGAAGTCGGCAGCCGAGTCGAGAGAAGCCGACTCGGCGGAAGTCGGCAGGCTAGAGAGTCTCCAGTGGGAAGCAGGAGATCGGAACCCGAAGCCGAATCGAAACGAAATCGGAAGCCATCGAAATCGAATCGAATCGAATCGGATAATCGAAATGAGACCTGCGTTCATGACTTGGCGGGAGGGCTGGAGCACAGGCCGCTGCGGACACTGGGGAAACCAAAAGGTACTGATACCTCTCCCGAGGCGCGTTCTGACCAGGATTTCGAGGCGAATCCAGTGGTGGCGACGAGGGCCTCTTAGGAGGCCCCGAAAGGGGAAAACGAGGGAGGGGTACCAGTATGAGTACCTCTTCCTCCTCTGAAAGACACGGCGGCCAGCAGCAGGCCGAAGACGCTGGCCAAAAGTGGTCCGTGCCGCGCCGCAGAGTGCGGCCCCATCGGGGCTGGCGAGCGCCTGCGAGAATCCATCCGAGAGCGGAGCGGCCGCCGCAAATCTCTCCCGCACGATCCACATTAGGTCTCTGCACCGACCTTGCAGACGTGCGGCAGCCGATTTTGCGTGGATTGCTGCCAGTGCAAAACCCCAACACGGCGGGCGAAAAACGAAGTGAACTGCAAGTGGATTCGTTCCTGGCCAGGGGAAAAGAAATCCGCACGAAATGCACTCCGGAATCCGGAGCTTGGGAGGTGGGGGGGCACAGGCGAGCCGGTCCTGGCGTGCGCCACTTGCGGCATGCTGGGGACGGAGCGCTGCCACAAGCTCCTTTTACTTGAGCAGGGACCGACCTTCCCGGCATTCCTATAGTCCTACCACGACATGTTCTGATAACCCAACAAAGTCCTAAGAACAAGCACAAGGTTCTTAGAACAGACGCCCGATGTGATAAGACAAGACAGGCTCCGCCAGAAATGTTCCGAGAACATCTCGTGGAAACCAGAAAAGGGTCTCAGAACACTGTTTGGTAGGGCTACTCGGCGAGCCAGGACGCTTCGCCACTGCTTGATTTACGCAGTGCGAGGCGCCAACAGAGCGGGACGCCGGAGCCTGCCCAGGCTCCGCCGCGGCCCCGCGCCCGGCCGCCGCCGCGCCCCCGGGCCGCGGGGGCAGGGGCTGGCCCGCGCAGGTGTAGCCCGAGAGCTCGAAGACGCGGCGGAGCTCCCGCCAGTCGCCGCCCTGCAGGCAGCAGGGCCCGCTGGCGCCCACCGTAGCCCTGGCCAGGCCCTGCTTGCGCGCCTGCCTGCGCAGAATGTTCTCCTCGAAGCTGCCGTGCATGGCCAGCCTGTAGACGAACACGGGCCTGCGCTGCCCCTGCCGCCACACGCGCGCCATGGCCTGCAAGTCCACGGCCGGTTTCCAGTCGGGCTCCAACATGACCAGCCGGCTGGCTCCCGTGATCTTGAGGCCCACGCCGCCAGCCTTGGTTGAGAGATGTTGAGAGCATGAGCGCCTTGGGGCCGCGCTGCCTGTTGAACGACTCCACCAGCTCCTGGCGCTTGGCCACCTGCGTGGAGCCCTGCAGCGACCAGGCCGCGAAGCCGGCCGCGCCGCCCAGGAGGCGAACATGGCCCGCGAGGAGGCCGCGGCTCGCGCCAGCAGCGTGCTTCAGGCGCCTCGCGCCGGCGCCGCGTGACGCGCGCCTCGCGCTGGAGCCGCGTGACGCGCGGCTCGCGCCAGAGCCGCGTGACGCGCGGCTCGCGCCGGCGCCGCGTGACGCGCGGATCGCGCCGGAGCTTCGTGACGGGCGGCAGGGTGCCGCAGCGCACAGCCGGCGCGGCGTGATGGCGGCTGGGCTCACACGTCTTCTGGCTCGCTGAGTTTCGTGGAATCGAATATCCTCCTCCTTCTCGTCCTCCCCGTCCCCCTCGTCCTCCTCCTCCTCCTTTCCTGCACCTCCCCTCCCGCTCCTCCTCGTACATCGTACCCCCCTCCCGTGACAAAAACCACGACGGAATGTTTGCAATCATTGTATGTCTCTGCGGGCCCGTACTAAGCTCCAGGACCGTCGAAAAAAAACGACTGGCATAAAAAGCAGTCCGTGGGAAGGGGTCAAATCCTCCAGTGCTTCATGCTGTAGAAAAAAATCGTCATCGGAAATCTGGGAAGAGAGGGGACCGAAGGACCCTACCCAACACCATATTCTGACATTGTGAAGGGATCTCAAGGTACAGCGGGCGCATCTGAAGAGGTATCTCCACAATGGTCAGATAAGGTTGTGGGTGTTTGTGAACTGTACGCCTGCTGCGCTCAGAAGTGATGAAAAAAACATGGAAAAGCCCCTGGACAACGACAACCGAGTTACGCGCAGCAGCTAAAGGCTGTTAACGGACGCCTGGGGAGGGCAGCATCCTACCACATGGGACATCAAGGACCTCAGATCCTGCCTCTCTAGAATATC